TAGAAGGAATTTTGCTGGATAGATACTCATCATTTTCTAATAGTTTTTTTCTGTTTCCATCATGTTTTAGTGTTTTTTCTTTCTAAAGCTTTTGTAGAAGAGTTCCTAATTGCAATATGATAAGGAGTATATCATTTATATAATGTATTTTGGGGAGGGGGACCCCTGCTAATTTTAATCAGGTTTATGATCCCATATTGTAAGCGAAATAAGTATAACTCCATTTTCTTAAAGAAAAATTTCAAGTGTTTTAGCTCAACCCTTAATTTTATTAACACCTTTCCTTAGAGCTAGTTTTTTTTTTTTTTTTTTTAAATGATCCTTTGCATTTTGAGGCTGGAATTTTTTTTGTGTGAGGAAGATTAGCCCTGAGCTAACATCTGTTGCCAATCTTCCTCTTTTTGCTGAGGAATATTGGCCCTGGGCTAACATCCGTGCCCATCCTCCTCTCCTAGTATATGTGGGGCGCCTGCCACAGCATGGCTTGATAATCGGTATGTAGGTCTGCACCCTTGATCTGAACCTGCAAACCCTGGGCTGCCAAAGCGGAGTGCGCAAACTTAACCACTACGCCACTGGGCTGGCTCCTGAGGCTGAATTTTTGAATTGACTATTTGGTAACTCTTAATGAACAATATGCAAGATCATTCTGTGAAGACTATGAAAAGATCAATGCAATGCATATTTATCTTTTATCTTTGTGAGGAGAATACAGACGTTTTCCTAGAAAAGTGTACGTATATATGTGCATACACATACATGTACATATACATAAACATACGTTAAAGTGACTTTAAAAAAATGAAAACTGCTACCCCATTAAAGACCATTTCTTGTCTATATTTTGCCATTTGAAGAGCATCTTGCTGAGCCAAACATACTTTTCTAAAATTCGCTGCAAAACAGGTCCTAATTTAATTGTCTATTTTGTCAATTTTTTAAAAACTAGTTAAATAATATGATTTTAATAAGCATTTTATTTTTATTTATTTATTTATTTTTTGTGAGGAAGATCAGCCCTGAGCTAACTTCCATGCCAATCCTCCTCTTTTTGCTGAGGAAGACTGGCCCTGGGCTAACATCTGTGCCCATCTTCCTCCACTTTATATAGGACGCCCCCACAGCATGGCCTGAGAAGCGCTGCCTCGTGCGCGCCCGGGATCTGAACCTGGGCGGCCAGCAGTGGAGCGTGCGCACTTAACCGCTACGCCACAGGGCCAGCCCCAATAAGCATTTTAAAACTGTAAAAATTAAACATTTCATATTGGATTTACCCCAATTATTAATAAATTAAAAAAAATATTCAATATGGTTAATAATAGCTGAAAGCTTCAAGTTTTCTTGTCTTTTTAGGCCCAGTTGCTTGGCTCTTTCTGTTCCTAAGGGTGATGTTAAATAAAATGTGAACGTGCTTACAGATGTTAGGCCCACTCCCACTGGGGTGATTGACTTTTTCAGGTGAAGTGAGTTCAGTGGGATTGAATGCTTTGAAGTTGAGAATTTCATGATCTTGTTTTAGGAGGCTCAATGGGAAAAAAAAGCCTGATGAAAAGGTGTACTCTGGAGACTTTTTTTTTTTAATGTGTGAGATTTCTGTTGAAGTCTGTGAGTGCCTTAAGCACTTAAAAGCTGGAGTAGCAGTGGTGATCATTACAATAAGAGAGTAGGAAGCTCAATAAAAGGTTCTCTAAATATCAAGGTCTATAGTTTTCTCTCAATTTTATGATTTTTTGACGTAGACTTAAAGATCTTAGAAAGTAGGGAAGATTGTCTTCATTCTGGAGAAATTTTACTAATAGTTGATACTTACATAGTAGTTTACTGATGGCAGGCATTCTTTTAAAGTGTTTTACATATGTTAACCGTTAAATGCTCCCAACCCCTCTTTGATGTGTTATCTTTTCAGTTGTATGCAGCAGGAAGTGAGGTTCAGTGTGGTTAAACAAGTTGGGATTTGCAGGTAGAGATAAAAAGAAGAGAAATGGGCTCCAGGCGTTACCAAGAGGGTCACCCCGGCCCCATCATCCCCTTATTGAATAGGAGTAAATATCCAATCAATAAAACAATGCACTTGAGAACCTGGTGGCACTGTAAACACGGAAGCACCTGTGGTCTTACTCGGTGATGTCACAAGTGCCTCTTCTGATTTTTCACTGGGTGTATCCTGAACACTTAAGGCCAGAACAACTACGAAAAGCAGCTGTTAACGTTATAATGAACATTAAACTGTGTAGATACTGTAATCATTAAGAAATACTATTTTCATGGCCAGCCCCGTGGCTTAGCGGTTAAGTGCGCGCTCTCCGCTGCTGGCGGCCTGGGTTCAGACCCCAGACGCGCACCCATGCACCACTTCTCCCGCCATGCTGAGGCCGCCTCCCACATACAGCAACTGGAAGGATGTGCAACTACGACATACAACTATTTACTGGGGCTTTGGAGAAAAAAAAGGAAGAGGATTGGCAATAGATGTTAGCTCAGAGCGGTCTTCCTCAGCAAAAAAAAAAAAGAGGAGGATTAGCGTGGTTGTTAGCTCAGGGCTTATCTTCCTCACACACAAAAAATACTATTTTCTGAAGATTATTTGTTCAGTATCTATCAACACTTTCATGATTAGAGAAAGCCATGTCACCTTTGATGCTTCTGTCATAAAATGTTCCAGTTTCATCTCAAACAAACATGACAGATTTGGAACATTTCTTGTCAAGCATACTTTCTGTCCGCTTCTCTGCGCTGTTAACCTCATACATCAGCTTGGCGCTAGACCTCGGAGTTGGTTTGCGCCCAGGCTTTCCTCCGGGCAGGTTTTGGTAGCTACTGGTACATAGCCACCCCCTGATGACAGAAAAAAAAAAAAACGGTGTGGGTTCGGGATGTCCCTGTTCTTAGATGTCAGCTCCCACAATGTGAAAAATTAGAGTCCTTTTTGCTTTGTTTTATTAGTTTTAAGTTCTTTTCCTCATTCTAAAGTGAGAAATATTTATTATAAGGGAAAAGAAATGAAAACATTAAAAAATATAAAGATACAGGAAAGAAAACACCTTTAATTCCTATCAGAGGTAATCATGGTTATTTTGCCGTGTTTCTTTCATCCTTGTGTCCGAGTTTTTGTATCTGTAGATCATGCAGTGCATGTCAGCGACAGATCGCGCTCCCGTCACGTGCCGGGGACTGCGCTGGGCACTGTCCATTTCATACCGTCTGCACACAACTTCTTGTGAAGCTTTTTTTCCGTTTTTGGCATTATAAATGTTTTTCATGTCACTAAAACGTGTCCATAAGTATAGTTTTCAGGGAGACTTAATATTTTGTTGTTTGGGCTTAAATTAGTTTAGGTAACCATTCCCTTGAGGTTGACCATGTCAGGTTTCTAGTATTTTGCTATTAGAAATAGTCCTCTCGACATCTTTGTATATTCATCTTTTCGCTTATCTGATAATTTCCTTTGGATAAATATAAACTATCGGGCCGGCCCCATGGCTTAGCAATTAAGTGCACGCGCTCTGATACTGGTGGCCCTGGTTCGGAACCCCGGGCACGCACCGACGCACCGCTTCTCTGGCCATGATGAGACCACGTCCCACATACAGCAACTAGAAAAATGTGCAGCTATGACATACAGCTTTCTACTGGGGCTTTGGGGGGAAAAAAAAAAAAGGAGGATGATTGGCAATAGATGTTAGCTCAGAGCTGGTCTTCCTCAGCAAAAAAAAGAGGAGGATTAGCACGGATGTTAGCTCAGGGCTGATCTCCTTCACCAAAAAAAAAATATATATATAAACTATCGTCCAGGTGAATGACTCTTTTTGTGGTTTATGATATCTACAGCCAGGTTGATGCCTAGAAAAGTTGAACCAATTTACATCCCCCCCCCCCCCCGGGAAAGGAGAGTTTTCACACCCATCTTAGCATTGAAGATGATCACATTTTAAAAATCTTTGATAAATTAATGTAAAAAGTGATATCTCATTGCTTCATTTTGTATTTATTTGATGTCTTGGTGAGATTCAAAAAATTTACTTGTGTTTATTTTCCATTTGCTCTTGAGAATTATCTGTACCCGGCCTTTCCTAACTAGCTATTTGCTTACACTTGGGATGTTATAAGGATATTAGCCTTTTGTCTAGTACGACTACTCGTTGGGAATAATTTCTTCCCCAGAGTGGTTTCTGAGGCCTCTATGTGCTAACTTTCCAGAGTTGGAAGGGGATCTAGCAACTAGTTTAGTATATGAAATAGAAATGTGTTTTCCATCACCATCTAAATGAGGAGAAATCACTGTGCTTATCTCTTCTTACATAAGCTGTAGGTCAGCAACCTCAGGAAGGGAGGGAGGAAGAGGAGAAGAGGGCTCCTGCTCAGTGTGGGGGGTGGGGGATTAGTCTCTTAACTTCCTGCTAATTTTTGGACTCTCTTATTTGCATTTATTTTTTAGTTTTTCCGAGGTGTGATGATGAGAGTTCACTGTGGCGTTGTAGTGCAGTGGTTAAGCCCGTGGACTCTGGATGGCTCCAGTGTGCCTGGATTCAAGCCCTGGTTCTATGACACAGGAGCTGAGCCAACTCACTAGCAGGTTAATTAACGCCTCAGCTTCAGTTCTCTCGTCTTTAACTTGGGGAATGACGATAATAGTATTGGGGATGATGATGATGATGATGATGATGGTGATGGAATCTAGCAAGTTGTGAGGATTAAACAAGTTATTATACATTAAGCGCTTAGAACAGTGCCCAGCACATACATTTTTATTACACCTTTATTGTTATCTGCACCATAGACTCTATGGGATCAAGAGGGAATGGGGAGGCTGTATGGAATCACAGTTAAATTCCTGAGGTAACCTAAAATGGCCACGCAATCAATCCTTCAAATGTGACATAAAGAGCCCCATTACCTAGGATCCACCACCGAGATATAGGTACTGAGGAGGAAAAAAATGCATGACATCAACTCTGCTTTCAAGAACCTGTAATCTACTTTGAAAGATCCCGGCAAACACTGTTACTATAAATGTGGCTTAATAAAAAGTGTGGAGGCCTGTTCTACTGTGAACATTTGGAAACATTTTCAGAAGCTATGCTGTATCTTCAATCACAGGTAACAAACATGGTGTCAAGTAAAGGCAGTCTTAGTAATAGACACTGATTACTAATTTATTTCCTATAAAACACCCGAGATTATCTCATTTAATAATTTATTCAGCAAAAGTGTGATAGTGTCTGTATGTGTTACACACACTACAGGTGAAAATCACTATATCAATAAGTGAAAATGATAGTGGCTGAAATGAGTTATGAGCTTGCAAGTTTACACTTCAAGTAAGTCTGTGGTCATTGTTCAAAGATTTTTTTTTATTTCCGTGAAAGAGGCATGGCTGTTTGGTTCTTAGTGAGGTAAAATAAGAGACATCACACATCAGTTTTCTCTTGCATGCCTGAATTGTGGTAAGCCTGTGGTGGAGAAATCTTTTAAGTGGAGTCCTTTTTTAAGGTTCCCAATTCTCTCTTTCTTGAGACAAGGAAGTCCATTAGGAGTTCACAGGGGATGGAGGAGCTTCTTCCATGTGCTTATTCATTCCCTCTTAGCTCCTGCTGGAGGAGGTCATCTAGATGATGTGACGGGGGGTTGACCTGGGAACTAGACCTGGGCAGTCAGAGGCTCCTCACTCCCTCCCCTGTCCTTGGAATGTATGTTTCTCCCACCCTTCCAGTACTAGGATCCATTTCAAGGATGTGGCCTTGAGAGAGGAATATGTTGTCGAGACCATTTGGACTGTATATGTGACTGAACCCCATTAAGGTCTCTATATAAACTTTTAAAATTCTGGTGAGTGGGTGCAGAGATCTACTCATCTTGTGGCTGCCCATGACAAGCCTCACAAAAAAGTTCCCTTGCTTATTAAAGCTGCCACCTACCAATCTGGAGTGGTCTGCCTCTTTCTTCTGTCCCTCCCTGCCCTCTATATATGGCAGCTGGTTTCGAATTTCATGAGAGGAAAGCTCCTGAGGTTACAAACCAACAGCTCCTCCTCCAGACCTGGAGTTCGCATTGCAATGGGCAGCTTGCACCCTCTGTCATGGGAGCACAGGTATAGCGTGTGTGCTATTGGAAGTGTTTTATAACTAGCCTCCAAGCTAATAATACTTAAGCCATGAGTGGACTGTCCCACTCACTAGGGCACTGTCAACTGTGGGTTATTCCCTTTTCAGGCCTAGTGGTATAGATACTTGGAATTTGTGGTATTAACAACAGCAGTTTTGACTTGGAGAATGACCCAAAGGTCCAGGAAATGAAGTACTTTTTTATTTTGCTGAGGTCAAATTTGAGAAGCATTCATTTGTCAGAGCAGTTATGTTTTGTCTTATTGTCTGGTAGGTAGGAACTCTCATAAAGACAGAAACTTTATGTCCTTGTGAAAAGTGGCCCCACAAAGGAGTCCAACACTTGACATTGACTAGAAAGTAACAGAAGATTAAGACGTCAAGGAACATTGTGATGCTTAATCAGAAAAAATAGATGGTTTTATAGAATTTTCTAGAGTAAAGGAGTGTTCTTCAAACTTTTTTGCTCACATCCTCCTAAAAGAAGTTTGAAAAACTATGTACTGCTTCACATTTAAAAATTTTCACCGTAAGTTGAAATAAATTAACTTTTAATAGAGTTAGAATAAATAAGATGAGGATTGGCTAGTTACAATAAATATTTTATGAAGTGATGATAAAATAAGTTTATCTACTTGATTGAATAATACACAGCGAATCTGAAGTAAATCACAACATTTTTATCCGTGGTTTTATTCAATTGGTAGCTCCAAAAAACATTTCATATTAATATATTGAGAAGAATCAAGGGCACTAGCCTAGGTTGCTTCCGGTTGCTCTAAATTCAGAACATCCTAACATTCAGGATGTAGAGGGTCTAATCAGAAAGAAAGAAAAAATGAAGATTACCATTCTGCCTCACAGCATTGTTCATTTTTACTTTGTTTTGGGGCTAGAAAGAGAAAGATGGGTAGGCTATCAAGTGTCAAACCATGTTTTCTTGACTGCAGAGAGGTCATAGATGATAGCATTTCCATGTGTTGTGGTCATCAGGACTAGTCTTGTATTTGGGTAAAGCAATTCCTTATTGCTTATTGCTTGTATTGGGTAAAGCATGGACTTGGTCGTCCATGCTCAGAACCTGAGGACTTCCTTAAGAAGCCTCTTTCTGTTCATTCCGCTTGGAGTAGCTCTGACTGTTTGAAGGCTGTTCTCCATATCGACCTGAGCGTTATGTCCTCCGTTAGTCCTCCATTAGACTAGTTCTGACTCCAGCTTTGTGTTATTCCCACTCCTGCATGACCATCTCGTATGCATTCGAAAATGCTGTTTGCTGTATGAAAGTGCTGTTAGGTCCTCTCTAGGCTTCCTGTTCTGAGCCATTTCTCAAACATCTGTTTCGGTCCACTGATAATCCACGTGGGTCCTTATGAAAAATCAAAAGTGAGGACTCCCACGCTTTTGGTCTGAACAATGAAACATTAGCTACTAGGAAACTAGTAAGAAATTTATTAAAGCTTACTAAAATTTGTCACGTATACATTAAAAGGAACAAGTCTGTATTAGAGAATAGTAGCAGAGGAGCGAGGAGTTCTGATTTAGTCTTTGCTAAAAAGTCTGCCACGTGGTGCTTTGGAACATTACAAAGCTTCTATTGTACATGACATTCTGGAAATTTTAAGGACTCTCTGTTATCAGCACTACCAGGGTTGTCTTGAATTGTAGTTGGTTTTTAATTACTGTTCCTGCATTCATATTTGCAGAAATGCTTTTTTGAACCTGTGTTTTGTGATTGCCGATATAGTTTGTGACTGCACGGATTTGGTAGGTTCTTGGTTCTCCTCCAGTTCTTTGTAATTACTGAGTTCTTTTTCTACCAATAAGAGGGCAGTTTAGAGTAAAAACAGTTTGAGAACCACACTCTTATGTCCTGGATCCTTAAGCAGGTATTTGGGCCAGACTCACCTGCAGAGTTTGTTTCTCCCCAGAATACACATGCACAGGCCTCATCTCAGAGATTCAGAATTAGCAGGCTCATGGAGCAGCCCAGGTACTGTGAAAAATCTTCCCAGGTGATTCTTACACTTGCCTTAGAAGAAGCACTGCCCTGGATGGTGCTGATTCCATCCCCCCTTCTCTGGTCTGTCTTCTCAGATTATTGATTTCACAAACTGAACTCTTCCTCTGCCAACACTCTCTACCTCCTTTGTCATCTGCTCAGCACCCTCCTCACCTCCAGTTCACAGCCAAGTCCTGCTGGATCTGGCTCTCGGCTTCATTTCTCTCCATCCACTCCCATTGCCATGGGCCCCCTTCAGGCACCCACCACCGCTTTCTGTCTCCTGACTCACTTTCCTACATCCATTCTCTTCCTCTGCTTTCAGCATTATCTAAGTCACAGATCTGATCATGTCACTGTCACTCTCACTCCCCTGGTAAAAACCTTCTATGGTTTCCTGTTGTCTGTAGGACAAATACAAATTCTTTTAATTGATTTGAAAGACCATTCAAACTCTGGCTCCAAATTACCTTCCTAGTGTTACCTATTGAAGCAGCCTTCATCCCATGCCTACCTATTCAAATGCAAATTATAAATCCTTTCTCCACCCCACCCATCAAAATCCATTGCTCCTTCCTTTGTGGTTTGCTGGCAGTTGGCTCATAAACAGATTAGTATTTTCTCTTCTAGCTTTGAAACCAGTGCCTGTCACAGAATTTGTCATATAGTTGCATTCAATAGGTGTTGGATAGATGAATGCATGTATGCATGGATACGCAAGGCTATTCATTCACTTTCAAATGTATCTGATTTATTATCCAATACATCTTTATATTGTCGTTAAGTGAATCATGGGAGACTGTCCAGTGCCTTATTGAAACAATAATAAAGATACTCATTTCATTCTCTTCCTCTACTTTTATTTTTAGGAGGAAAGGTATTAATTTACTATGAACCCATGTTAATAACCGTTGGGGAGTGTTAGTCTTTTTCTAGGCACTGAAACCATCTACTCCATCAATCAAAAAGAAGTCAAAAGACTTCCCTAAAATGAGGGGAGGGTAGGAGTGTATGTACAAGGAAAACACATCAGGAAGAAAATAATCCCAAATGGTAAACAGTAGTTGTCTAGAGGTGGTGAAATGATAGTTATTATTCCTCCTTCGCTCCTCCAGTTTTCTGCAATCTTTTTACGTTACAGTATGGGTGGTGTGGTTATGCACATGGTTTCATTTTTCCATTTTTTGCATTAACTGCAATGTACTTACTGTTTTTGTGATAAGTGTAAGTTTCCTTTTTCAATGGTGTGTTATCTGGTATCAGGTAACAGACACTTTTTAAAAAAAAAACTAACGCATTTTGAAATAAACTTTAAAATAAGCAATACAGTTAAACCTAATGGCAGTTTGTAAGGATATTGAACTGTACATTTTTACTCCAAATGCATAGGCTTTCTCAGGTTACGCTAGAGATGAGACATGCTGTTGATGTCACAGTAAATTTCCTTCTCTTTCTCCAATAATAAATTACACAGTTTGATTATTTTTTAGTAGGAAAGGGTCATACTTCTTTAAGGGAGGGTGATAAAAGACATTGATTTGACTTTAACACTGCCACTTTTAGGCATGGGCTTCAGGAATGTACCTAATAGGGCAAAGGTTCCCCAGGGACAATAGTCATCTAATCTAATAGAGATAAAAGATTAAATATAAACCTGTCCCGAGAGAGAAAACTGCATAGGATAATTGGCTCAGGTACCTTGCGGCACCTGGAAACAGATACTTCCCACGTACCTGGAACACATCATGAACAAATATATCTGGTACTGCAGAATGCCTGCGTGTCTGATTTAGAAGCTGGAAGGCCTTTGTTACTCTCTGAAATAAAGGTTATAAAGGGGCCATCTAGTCCAGAGGCCAGGTTGTGTGGATCCAGAGAGTCTGATGTGTCTGATCTAGTAAGAAGTCCCAGGGATCTGGTTGAGGACAGTGTGACGGCTTGTTAACAGGGCTGCTTTGTAGAGCAGATCTTATCAGTCCTGGGCATGGCTTTGGACTCTTGCTTCCTCTGGACTTCCTCTTAGCGAGAGGAGAGGGAGATGGAGGATTGCCCTCTGAATACACGAGAAATAGTGTTCTGTTTTGTTTATACATTACCGGTATTAAGGAAGACTTGCCACTCCACTCATCTTTTCTGCATTGTCTCAGCCGTCCAACCAGAGGGCACAGGAGAGGAGAGAGGAAGGTTAGAGGATGATGGTTCCAAATCATATGGGATACAGGTTTTTAAAATCTCTCTAAATGATTTAATCATGATCTTTTGGTTCTATCCTTTCTATAAATTTAGAAAAAGTTTTGTTCTTAAGCTATAGACAACTTTAAGTATTCTTTCTGGATGCAAGAAAACAAATGATAAGTTAGGAATATCCTAGAGGAACAAAAAGAAAATATTAAATACTAAGGAAAATATTGCATATTTAATATGTTTTAGGTATATTAGGCTTGATTTTTCTAAAAGAGTGTTAAAAATACTATTTCCTTAAAAGATAATTTTTCTTGAAGTAAATTAAAAAATTTAATCTGCTAAACATTTAAGACTGTCTTCTGTAACATCAGAAGAGAAGGTACATTTATCTCCTTTCAGGTAGTTCTTTTTAAGGGAAGCTTTTCCTTATTATAGAAATTTATTTTTTAAAAATTTTGGAAACTACTGCAAAATAAGGCCTAATAAATTATATATAGTTTCATATTCCAAAGCAGAATGTTTATGTCAGTCTAATGTCAAAATTACAACTTACTAAGCATAAAATGTTCTGACTAGCACAATCTCTGAATATGTAGATGCAATTCCTTCTACAGAGAGTGATGGCTATATGATTGTATTTCACTTTTTAAAACATTAAAACAAGAATTTCCACGTTATAAACTTTTGATAAACTTTTAAACATTCAAATTTTCACATGCTATAAACGCTTGATAAATATTTACATTTAATTTATTTTGAAAATTCTTCAATTTTATTGCTGTGTAATATGAATATTGTGGTAATTTTAAAAATAAACCTTTATTAATTATTGGGCTTATTCTTTTTAAGTCGAGCAAATGTGGATGCTAATCTCTTTTAGTTCTGCTGTAACAGGAAGAAGTGTTCCACACACTATACTGCTGTCTGGGCTTAAATTGTGGGTGTTATTTCACGCGGATAACTCAGGCAAACCAGAGAGTTTTTTTAATTTGCATGACATAGATGAAATAATATACTCCCAGTGGAAAACCGCATGGAACAAACTAAAAAAACAAAAGGCTCTGCTATGTTTTTGAGAATTAGATCGTGGCTAAGGAGTAGAAAGCTGAGCCTCAGAGAACTATGAGTTCATCATCTAGGTAAACTTTTTGTGGAGAATATGCTTCTCCTCAGAGCATTTGGTGTCCAGAGGCTCCTTTTTTCCCAGCAATGCTGGAGGGACAAAGTATAGAGACTCAGAAACTGGTGAATTATGCTTGTCCTACCATCTCACAATGGAGTATAGAAAGTAACAAAAATTGTTGCAACTGGATGCCCCCTTAAGGATTAATTTTACTTAGTGGAAAGAAAATACAGGCTCTTTTTCATGTTTGTAGTTTATCTATATATAGATGTGCTGTAATAGATTTAAATTGTTTCCCTTGGGTAGTGTCAACCTTAAAAATAAAACAGCCAGTTATTTTACCAGCAAAATGAATTTATTTGGGAATAGCCAAAGAATTGCAATTTGGGATGTGTGTACTATGGCAAAAGCCACAGGCAAGTCCAACAATCAAAGGAGATGAACATTATCTTATAGGGAAAAAGGAGGAAATTGAGAGGAGCTGTTTTGAGCAAAAGTCCATTGGAGAAAAGGAAGAGTTCAGGGTGGTGATGGTTTCTCATTAGCTGAGTTGCTGGGGTGAAGTCAATTTCTGTTTGAGATGCAATGTGCATTTCTTCCTGTAACTGATGATTCTTCCTGTTGAAGACTTTTTTCTGTTGGGGTCTGTAATCGACTATCTTTCCTGTAGTTGACCCGAGTGGTACTTCATGGAAGCTCCCCCTTCCAGCCTCCTGACTTTGTTTTAAAGGAGGTTTCCCTTTATTAATTTCACATTTACTCCTTTTGATCAAGATCTTTCTCTGAAAGCATCGCTCATCAAGAGTCAGGTTTTCTGGATTCAGTGGCATTTGTCCCTGTGTGTCAAGAAGGACCTTTCCTGGATATTGTGGAGAAAAAGTGCCTAGCAGTTGGAAACCATTTAGGCCACATATGAGTAACAGGGAAGGTTAGGAGGGAGAACTCTCCAGCACCTCTTATTCAAAGTCTGTAGTTGTCCAACATCATAAGCGTCAGAAATCATTTCAAACTGTTGAGTTAACATCACCTTATTAGGTACGTCATGTTTACAAAGGTTCGACAGACAATAGGTGCAGAGTTTAACAACGAGTACAGAAAGCAGGACAGAGAGCAGTACAACAAGCCCAGTTTGTATGACAGTTTTAAACCAGGAGCCCAGGCCTGAGGGTAACCAACTGCATAAATCAAAAGACAGTGGGTTATTGGTGAAATCTGTTGCAGCCAAGGAGCTTGCTCTCAAATTCTGTATAATTGGGTCTCAACTTCCCCAGAGGTGTTTATCCATGAGCAATAGGAGGTGTTTGTTACTGCACAGACACCACCCTGCTCACCCAGTAGTTTATCTAAAGCTACCCTGGCCAGTGAATTAAGCGACCATTTTTGGGTCACAACTGCTTTGGCTGTGGAATTGGCACTCTTCTAGTGTTAGGGAGAGATACCTGATCATTTGTTTGTTGGCACTTACTCTCATCTGTGGAAAGAAAGCTCCCACTGCACAGGCAAATCCAGAATCATGCATGCCTCCTGGAAGTTCTCATTTGAGGCAATTATAGGAATTGAGTGGAACCGACCAATGAGATACTTGTGATTGGTTATGCAAGCAGAACAGGGCGGTGGTGAATATGGCAAGGGCACACTGTCCTCGTACTTTCCAGCTGTCTAGTCAATGAGATGCCCGAGCATAGAGGCTGTTGTCGGAGCTTCCACATATGAAAATGTTGCCAGGGAGTGTACATAAGTCTCCTGCATAAGTGACAGTATGTATGGACTCATTCACTGGCAGAGTAGCATTATCACCATTTAACCAAGGCTCAGACATTGTGTTGTTACATATCAAGAGGTTGCCTAAATATATGGTTATATTAACAAGTGTACAAATGATCCGATTTACACTGGCAATCCTACAGAATCAAATCATTCAAATATTCATAAGATCTTGTCTTTCCCTTCCAAAGTTGGGGTTAAATTAAAGCAAGGAACAAAATTAGGTGGGCTTAGTACCGTGACTTTATAAAATGGGCTTGCAGAACAATTTAAACATACAATGGCATCCAGAATTCTGGTGAAATTACTTATAGGATGAACTAAGGGGTCATTATTTTTCTGAACAGATCAGGTTTTCTGATGGCAAATCCAGTAATCAGAGAGGTTTCTCCCTTTCATGAGGGATTGGGAAATGTGGACAAGGGCATTGTCCTTCCAGGAAAGAAAGGGAGAAAATAAAGTAAGAAACAACAGTGGGAAGAGGGTGTACAGGCCTGGTCCCGTCATCTGGGGGAAGCTGTCTGCCTCAGATAGTGACTGCTTCTCTTCCTGGTCAATTTGATTCGGAGATCCCCAGTGTTTACACAGGACTAGATGTCAGGTGGAGCCTTCTTCAGCTGTGAGATATGAACCCAAGGCTCAAATCCCTGAAGTTTGGCTGCCATCTGGGTAGTGAGGGGGACCTGGTATAGTCCCTTCCAAGATTTTAAGGTCAGTAAAATTGTAAACATCAGTTTGAAGTATTGTAGCCAGACATTTAAGGAAAGTAGAAGAATTTTGGATCCAGTCTAGATTACAGGTATGTAACAAAACCTTAAAGATAATTAATAGGACTAGAATTTATTATCTACAAAGGTGCAAACATAATTTCTGTCTCCACAATTACCCCCATTTTTATTAAAGATAATCATAGTAAATATCTGGGTCTGTGTATATCTCTCTCAAATATGACATTGCAGTCAAAGCCTTGGTAATGTAGCTATTATTTCCAGTTGTGTCCCGTTATAAGAACAGATTCTCATTAAATTTATGCAAATACATGTATTGTCATGAAAAGAATACTTAAGAGTTTCTGAATTCTGGAAGGATTAGCTAGGGAGAAAAAGATAAATGCTTTTACCCTTGTTGTAAAGATACATTTTCTCAAAGGAGAGGAGAAAGGGGGGCCTTTAAATCCAGTTCAGTGTGATGATCTTAAAGTTATCAAACACCTGCATTCTAGGGTATTCGTCAGGATCTTTTCCATGAATTTTTCTCAAGATAAAATATATTTGCAAAAGCACTAGAGTAAAACAATAACTGTCTGTAAATGACAAAAGACTTAAAAATAGCAATGGTGAAAGATCTGATGAGGGTTCATTATAATATAATTGCCAAGTAAATTGGGTCATTTTTGTGACATACATTTTAAAATTATGACTGATAACATTATACCAAGGTATATATATCAGAATTTTAGGAGGTTTTGTGAATCTCTAGAACATTTATGTTAATAACATTCACCTATATAGTATAACCTAAGAAGTTTATCATCATTTATTTGACAATGCTTCCCATGTAACTTGACATATCAAGAAGCCTAATTTGTTTAACATCTCTCTTTTTATAAGAAGAAAGAACAAATCCTTTGAGAAGTCCCAGGGGCCCTCTGGAAATTCCCAAAGTTACTTTCAGGTCAAAAAGACCTTTTTTTAGAATTAGAATTTTGGGAAGTTTGTCAAAAATATCAAGAAGTTTGGGGCATTTGACCAAATAAGATCACAGAAAATTAAGAAACAATACTTACTTATCTATTTAACCAAAGTGGCAAAAAGATTTCAAAGACAAATATAGAAGGTTACATAGATGTAAAAAGCCTTAGCTCCTCTTAATAGAAAAGACTCAGCTTTTAACAAAATTACAGGAAATAATTTTGATATGACACAAAAAGATAAGAAAAAATCTTTCACAGTCTCTTATCAGGATCAGACCAATAGCCCAAGCAAACTTTGTTCTTTTATCAGATGAAAGAAAATTAAGTTACAGTTTTACATAAGTACACTATTGATATTAAAGCTTATTTTTAAACTGTTAATGGCAATTTTATTTAGCCTTATCCAGCTTGATCACATATAAAATTTTTTCCAAAGATTCCTCTTTCCCAAACCTTCTACAACCTTCTTTTTTCATTCAGATTTTGTCCTTTATTATTCTGGCAACCATTTTACTTTAGGACAAAATTACTTTCCAGCAAAAATATATCTCCATACCTCATATCTTTTTAACACATATCCTACTTTCTTTGCATCTGGTAGCTTTAATCATATGTGTTAATTAGGATTTTTAGACCCTTAGAATCCTTAATTCCTAGTGAAAAACTAAGAAGTAAGCAATTGTGGATAAACAAATTTATAAATACATATAATTTCTAGAAGCGTATGCCCTTTTAAATAGTGCAATCTTTCGGTGTGGCACAAGACATGGTTACTAACAGATTCAGATATATCTTTAGTTTCTTTTCAATAAGGAGCCAAAAGTAGATAAACCTGTGTTCAGTAATTAATTGTTTTAGTATTTCATATTGTTTGGAAAATGATCCAGACATTTGATGAAATGCCATCATTTAATTTAACTTAGCAAAAATCTCTAAAGTTTTAAGTTACCCAAAAAGCTTTGGGGATGTTATTTTAAGCGCACATACCATAAAACATAATTATTGTACCTAAAATTTTTTATCCCGTTTTCATCTATCTAAATAATTTGTTCCCAACAAGTATGTTTAAGTTACTCACAAAAAACTTCATGAGATATTAGACAAAGTCAGTCATCATCTCAAGCAAATTTCCTTGTTGATAAATTTTGCAATTGAGAGGATATGACCTTAATAAACCCAGGTAGAGTGAAAGTTGTATGTCTGCATTATATTCAGCATTAATAACTCTAAAGACATGCCTATTTCAATTAAACCAACATTAAGCTAGCTTTTATTTACTAAAAATTAATCCTGGATCACATAAACTTAACATTTGGGTTAGTTTCTGTTATATTTCTGAGGTTTAGAAATACTTAATTTATAACCACTTAATTTCAAGCTAATTAAATGGAGCTCTTTTACAAAGTGATCTTAGCAATAACATCCAAATGTAGAAAAATATCACATGCATACATAGACATATATAACATATAGACAGACACAGAGACCTTGTAGCTTTTGTTTTAAAAATTTCAGCTATGTCTCAGGTACAAAGTTCAAAGGAGTAGTTGGATCCAAATTGTGTTTCTGGCCAATGAGCTAAGTTAAGGTTACTTGCTGAGTTGGCCAAAGTTTCAGCGTTAGAGGTGGTGCAGAATGGAAGGAGGAAGATGATACTGGATGTGGGGCCTGAGCATAAAACAAAGACAACGGAGGAAGGGAAAGAGAGCCCTCAGAAGCCACTTTGTTCTCCCTAAGCTACTTCAGATATGGTATCTTGTAGTGTGGCAATTTTAGAGTTTTGTGCACATTTGGAAGCCTCCAGATACCAATTAAAATAAACATACCATTTGTTTTGCTTAATTTTAGAGCCACAGTTTTAAGAAAAATGAGTTCGGGGACCAGCCCAGTGGCATAGTGGTTAAGTTCACGCACTCTGCATCAGTGGCCTGGGGTTCCCAGGATTGGATCCTGGGTGTGGACCTACACACCACTCATCAAGCCATGCTATGGCAGCGTCCCATATACAAAATAGAGGAAGATGGGCACAGATGTTAGCTCAGGGCCAGTCTTCCTCAGCAAAAAGAGTAAGTTTGGCAACAGATGTTAGCTCATAGCCAATCTTCCTCACCAAAAAAAAAGGAAAAACGAGTTTGGGGAGATCTCAAGTTCCCAATA